GGAGACCGCAGCAGTGCCGCCAGCCCAGGCGCGAGGACAGGACCCGGACCCACCCCGGCGCGGCGGCGCCAGGTGAGCGCAGCTAGGGTCCTCGGGTTCGTCCCCTACTTTCCCCAACTTTTCCTTTGGCTCCTCCCTCGGGAGAGACCTGGGGAGCGGGAGCCGGACCCTTCCTTGTCCCGGGGACGGGGACGGGGTGTCTATCGGGTGGAGGTGGCACCCCCGAGGGCAGGGGCCGGGGCCTGAGCAACTTTCCTGCCCTGGGACCTGTGCACTGGGTCTCCGAGTGCCTCTCCCTGGGGCTCCAGCGTTGACTCAGCCCTCCAGAGGCCCCAAGTTTAGGGCTCGTCCCCTCTCAGCCCGTCCTTGCTCCTGCCCCTCAGGGAGAGCGGGGCTGCTGGCCTTTCTGAAGTTGGGGCTGGGGCGCCAGCCTGGCCTGGGCCGGGTGGTCACTTCTCTGGTTCCGGGCTGGGGAAAGGGCGCCACGCTCAGAGACCAGGGGGAACCGGCCCCCAAGGAGCTTCTAGGCTGTGCCCACAACTGCTCAGCGTTGGGTAGGGGCTAGAAGTCTGGAGTGGGGTCCTGGCCGAGCCCCCCGCCCCCCCCCTTTGGGTGGGGCATGACCCGGGCCGACTCTTGGCTTCTCTGGGCCGCATTTCCCTCGGTGGTAACAGGGCCTGGACTCCAGCGACTCCACGCTAGGCCCTGGGCCTTCCCTGCGATTGTTGGAGGCAGGGATGGGGTGCACTGCTTTGAGCTTTGGGGGTGAGGATGGGGAGTGGGTAGGATAATAAGGTCTCCTCCTGCCTTCGGGCCTCTTGGCTGGTTCCAGTGCGGCAGCTGTTTAGAAACTAGACCGGGGAGTGCGGACACACCACTGACAGCGAGTTCCTAGCCGGCCTCTCCTGTGACCCGGGGTGCCTGGGTGGAACCCCGTTTCCTCCTACACGCTCCCTTCCGTGGGGAACACAACACATGCAGTGGCTCCATCCCTGCCCGACCAGGCTCCTGTCCTTAGGCCACAGGCCGGGCGGGACCAGCAGCCGGGAGGGGCTGAAGCCGGGTGGCCCGACCCCGAGCGGCCTGAGGCGCAGGGGCGGGCGGTGCTGCTCCTGCCGGGACGCGGCCCGGAGGCCCCGGGAGGAGGAGGCCGGAAAGGAGGCCAGGCGGTGGGGAAGGGGGATGATTCATCCCGAGGAGCCCGAATTGGAAACGCCGCAACCTGGGAACAGTCTTACCCGGGCGGATGGGAGAGCCAGCAGGGGAGATCGCCCCGCAAGGCCTGTGCCCGACACCGACAGCCCCCTGCTTCCAGCTCGGCCGCAGCCCGGCCGCGGGCGGACACAGAGGCCTCTTCTGCGCGGAGTTTAAAGAGATCCTGGGCGAAGTCGGCCGCTGAGCTTGGGCAGAGTGGCCATCCTGGAGTCTAGCTCAAGTCTCTCCTGCTGCAGTTTCAGTGCTGCCTGAGGAGTTCTGGAAGGAGGGGGCGGGCAGGAAGAGGTTGGAGTCAGGGGCACCCCTCCTTCCGACGCTGCGGTATGTAAAGCGCAGTGGGGGGAGGTGGGCCGCCAGCGACCCCAGCGGCCTTGGGCGGTCCGAGCGCCCTCCCCTCTTCCTTGACCACCGTGAGCCACGTGCGGGGGTGAGGTAGAGCCCAGGCAGGACTTACCCGGGAGACGCCACTGCCGGGGGCCCCAACAACTCCCGAGACCCTGGACCCGGGGGCTGGCGAAGAGGGTGCAGGCGTCCGGAGCCCCGCAGCGCACGATGCGCCAGGGAGCAGCCCGCGCCCCCTCCCTCCTCCCCGCCCGCGGGCCGGGCCCGCCCAGGCTTCTGCCGCGCGTCCCTGGCTCGGAGCGCCGCTGCGGAAAACCCGAGCGGGGGCGGCTCTCGCGGCCCGGGAAAATCCGGGGGTGGCCGCCAGGGATCTCCAAGCGGCCTGGGCGAAGCATCCCGACCTTCCCTCCGGGCTCTGGGCCCCACCTGGTGCTTCGACCCTAGGCCCGTCGGTTCAGTCCCTGCCTCCCATCTTTTCTCCGCAGAGCGCCCTGACGACGGCGGCATGACGGCGGGGAGCCCGGGAGACTGCGGGGAGG